GAGTACAGGTGAAAACCTCTATCCTCTAAACTACTCTTTTCCCCATAGTACAAAGCCTTCAGTTGTTCACTCGAAAAATTAGCATTTCTCGTGTCTGCTAAATAAAACATTAGTATTCAACCTATCAAAGTAAGATTTGAAGTTGTCGTGCGTGTAACCGTAACTCGATTTCTTAGCATAGCTTTCTCAAACTCCCTTTTCAAACTTGAGTTGATAAACCACTGCTTTGACATTTCTCTCGACGTTAAGCATATAGCTCTTTTCTGCGGTGGAAGCTCACATGCAATTGCATATCTTGCATACGCCGGCGTGTTCGGCGGAACCCCTAAACATCTTCTTAGGGAGTCATTTAATATGGTGCATAGCTGCTTATTATACCCCTCGGGCATGTTAGCAAAAGTTGTATTAGCGTACTCTGCTTTTGATCGAACAAATGATTTGTACAGCTTTAATCCTACCATTGGGGTTAACCCAGCTTTTATAGTTGTAATTCTTGCCAGCAAATTTTTTCCCGGCACAATAGATTTTTTGACATTTCCTATGTGCTCTTTAATCGTTGAATTAGCACTTATTACCCTTCCTAACCATCTAATTTTTTCCACTTGCTCCACATTGCATCCATTTACTCTCACATTGAACTGTTTTCTTCGACCCATCGTCATAACCATAAAATTTGTTTTATTTAACGATTCACACATTGCATTTCCGCAATTTTAGTAGTAAACTCGTTAATTGCTACCTCCTCATTTCTACATATGTCATCCGCTTATTGAAAAAGATGAGTATTTTCATTACAGACAGAGTGCAGTTTTGCAGTATAAATGTTGAATAATATCGGAGAGAGACAGCTTCCCTGTGGCAATCCATTGTTTACTTCGACGGAGCAGTTACCCAACGTAAGAATTCGCTTGGAAAAAAGATTTCTAATCCAATCACAAATTTTTGGATTCATCCATGTCGCATAAGTATACTATGCAATATAGCTAAATCCACACAGTTGTACGCATCAGGGAGATCTATTACGCCCAGAAATACCTTTTCACTCGGCACCCTGAAATTGTGCATATGGAAACTGTGCATACGAAATAATGCATATGAAAAAAACCGAAATAATGCATACGAAAAAAACCGAAATAATGCATATATGCACAGTTTCGGTTGAAAACC